CTACTAAGTGACAATCAAAATGCCCTAGCATATTTTTGGTTTGAATATTTTAGTCTGTAATATAGTGAGCATTTATACTGCACAATAAACTTGCGTTTAATCTTGTTTATCCTACCGTATTCAATGACGTCTTGCTAAATTGGCTATGATATTTACCCCCCCTACCAACTCCTGAGATAAAGACTGAAGACCACAACGGGTGGACGAATCGGCCAGGCAATCTGTCATCAACACATCGAAACAAAAGATGGTGAACAATACAGTTATATGATCATATGGTTACAATATGGGTAAAGTCAGCACTGTAGCTTGTCAACGGTTCCATTGAACCTTCTAACCGCGTTTTCCTATCACTTGCCCGAACAAAATAGAGTAGAATCGAAACCAAAACGAACTCGCACACCAAGCCATTTGTTGGTTCAACGGCCGTAAATCCGGCATCGCGACTTTTGTTGCTGTATATCCGGCTTTAATCTTTCAGTTTCTCCCATACATGATTCATTTGGATGACAAATTAAGGTACTAAATTAAGTGATAAGCGATCACTGTTAATGGCAACTTGATTTCTATAAATGCCGGATGACAAAAATCAAACTCTTTTAAGTAATAAGGTGTAGGACTGGTTTGTAAAACGGTACACTCTCACAAGCATGTTCATACTGTATGTGTGGCGATATTTATACATCCAGAAATATTTCATTATCATTAATTCTTCGTGTTCAGTGTATGTCAAATGACGCATGACTACTCCAAGATCGGGATCTAGTTTTCAATGAGTCATGCGTTAAAGATTTTAACTGCAGGTCGAATTTTTGGGCAGTATTGCTACTTTGCTTTATCAGGGAGTGCAAAAGTTATTTATTTCTGATGCAGATGCAGGTATTCGTTGGACATAAATTTTGTTACAAAAATTGGTGTCTAAGTCTGATTGAAGATTATCGTTACATGATTCAATAACTGGTCCGTTATTTTTGTAAATTTGCTAATAATCATGATAAACTTTTTTATGGAATATTTTCTGCATCACGAGCAGGGCTCGTCCCGTGAAATTCAGTCTGCGTTCTTTTGTGAATCACAAAGTTCGCTGATCGAAACAAAGAGCCCTGTTTTGAATCGCCGTTTTTAACGAGCAGG